TGTGTGTGTGTGTGTGTGTGTGTGTGTGTGTGTGTGTGTGGTGTGTGCGAGTGTGTGCGAGTGTGCGTGCTTCTGCCACATATGAGCCTTTGGGGACCAGAAGAGCACCCTCTGGAGCTGGAGTTAAAGGCAGTTGTCAGCTGCCCAACATGTGTGCTGGGAACTGAGCTGGGTTCCTCTGGAAGAGCAGCCAGTGCTCCTGACAGCTGAGCCATCTCTCCAGCCCTCAGAGAATTTCTCTAAGAAGCACTGGCACAGCAGCTGAGTGGAAATAGAGGTCCAGAGAGAATGTCTGGTCTTGCCTTTTACCCCATCCAGCTGTCGTGGTCACTGTCTGTGGGAGAATCATGGCCCAGATCTTTATGCTGAGTTACGGTGGTCCTTCAGCACTCCCCATGTAGACATCAGCACCCAGGCACCACTCCTCTCCATCTGCATTGCAGACTCTGCTCCCCAAGGTCTCTCCTCTGACTTTCCCCAGTGTACAAGGCACCGGCTCAGCCAAGGGAGTCTTCCCGCTCTTCTTCACTGTCCGCCTGAGTCTGTCCACACGGCAGCGCTCTTGCCACTCCTGCTCTGGCCATAGTTGATCCAGCCTGCCTCCAGCAGCTTGCTCACCCATCCCCTGGACCTTCTATTGTAATCCCCAGCACAGCTTGCCCAGTGACTGTCTGGGCACTCCTGGTTTCCTTCTCCCTCCCCTTAAAGTAAGAGTCAAATCCTCTCTGGGTGAACCAAGCCGTTTCCTCCAGACTGCCTCTGTGTGGGGAACTCCAGAAAACAGGAGCAGCTGCTGTCCTCACTTAGTTGGGATAGGAACTTGCCATGCAGCCCTAACTGGAATGGCACTCTCCATATGGCCAGATAGGCCTTGAACACAATGGCCATCTTAGTTGTGTCTTGTCGGCTGGACCTACTACACTCTGGGAATTTTTTTTTTTGGAGCACTGTCTGTAACTCCAGTTCCAGAGCTCTAACACCCTCACACAGACAGACATGCAGGTAAAACACCAACGTACATAAAAAATATTTTTTTTCGGTTTTTCAATTTTCTTTAATGTGATCCCACTGGGCAGTGGTGGTACATGACTTTAATGCCAGCACCCAGGAGTCAGAGGCAGGCAGATCTCTGTGACTTCAAGGCCTGCCAGGCCTATAGAGTGAGTTCCAGGACAGCCAGGGCTACCCAGAGAAACCCTGTCTCGAAAAACAAAACAAAAAAGGAATCTTAGTACTACAGAAGTAGAATTGAGTGGGTCTTTATGATTTTGAGGACAACTTGATCTATAAGTTATAGGTCAGCAGGTTCCAGGCCATCCAGTACCACGCATCGATAACCAACCTTAAAAAAAAAAAAAAAAAGGGAGCATTTTGGTCATCTAGCATGTATAAGTTCATATATGGTGCTCACATGTGTGCATACAGCCTGAAAACAGCTTGCAGTCGGGTGTGTCAAAGCCTGGTATCATTCCCTGCAACAAGCCTCTTTAGCAGAGGGCTTGAACCTTTCAGAAGTATGAGCTTGTCCTCACAGGTTATCACTTGAGACGACACGGGTGTTTTCTGTCACTCCTCAGGTGGGTGTTCAAAATCCACAGCCCACGTGTTTGTGCTTACTGTTGAGCACTGAATGACAGACATGGTCTCCAGGCCAGTGACGTCACTGCTGCCCAGGTGCACGACCCTCTCCGCGCTCAGACCCTCCGAATTCAGTCTTACTGCAACCTGACGAGGGATGCTCTCAGAAGGCTAGGTGACTCTGGTTCTGCAGCTGCTTGCTGCTTGGCTGGATTCAAAGCACCCCTGTACCCTGCGCACTCCCAGGGATCATGCCTGGGAGGGCTTCAGTGCCTCTTTTCTTTTCCAGGGGATGAACAGTCAGTACGTCCGCCGAGAGGTCTTCTGCGGGAACACCTGCCACGAGCTCAAACGCTTCTGGGAGAGGGAGATTGGCAAACAGACATACTACCGTGAGTCCGAGGAGCATCGCCTGGGAAGGAGCGCGCTGAGAAAGTACGCAGCTGCATGTCTGTTTAACACGGTTTGGAAAGATTTACATATTTCTGCTTTATGTGTGTGGATGTTTTGCTGTATGCCTGGTGCGCCCTGGAGGCCAGAAGAGGGTGTTGGATCCTTTGGAACTGGAATTATAGACTGTGGTTAGCAGGCACGTGGGTGGGTGTTAACAACCACCTGGAACTCCAGCTCCAGGGCACTCAACATCTCTGGCTTCCTTGAATATCTGCGTGCGCGCGCACAAACACACACACACACACACACACACACACACACACACACGTACATTATTAAAAATAGTAAAAGTAAGTCTTAAAATATAAGATGGAGGGGGCTGGAGAGATGGCTCAGTGGTTAAGAGCACTGACTGCTCTTCCAGAGGACCTGAGTTCAATCTCCAACACCAACATGGCAGCTCATAACTGTCTGTAACTCCAGTTCTAGGGGACCCAACACCCATGGCAAAACACCAATGCACATAAAATAAAAAATAAATAAATTCAGAATATAAGATGGAGGTACTGGAGATGGCTCTGAGGCAAGTCTGGGCAACATTAAACTGCTAAAAATAGAAAGGAGGGAAGGAGGGAGGGAAGAAGGGAGGGATGAAAAGAAGGAGGAAGGGAGGGAGGGAGGAAGGAAAAACAACAGCTACAAAATGGACTGAAGAGATGGCTCAGTTGGTAGAGCTTTTGCCATGCAAGCATAAGGACCTGAGTTCAAGGCCCAGTCCAAACACAAAAAGTCCAGCAGTGCACACCAGTTATCCCAGTGCTGGGGAGATGGAGACAGGAGGATCACTAAAGGCCTGCTGGCTAGCTGAATTGGCCAGCTCCAGTTTAGCGAGAGATCCTGTAAAGTAGGTGCTGGAGAGATGACTCAGTGGTTAAGAGCATCAGCTGCCCCTCCAGAGGGTCCAGGTTCGATTCCCAGCACCCACATGGTAGTTCACAAACATCTGTCCAGTTCCAGGGGATTCAATTCCTTCTTCTGGTCTCTGAAGGTACCAGGCATGTGCATGATGCACAGACATGCATGCAGACAAAACATTCATACACATAAAATTTTAAATTTAAAAATAAGGTAGAAGCCGGGCGGTGGTGACGCACGCCTTTAATCCCAGTACTGGAGAGGCAGAGGCAGGCAGATCTCTGTGAGTTCGAGGCCAGACTGGTTTACAAGAGCTAGTTCGAGGACAGCCTCCAAAGCCACAGAGAAACTCTGTCTTGAATAACCAAAGAAATAAGTAAATAATAAAAATAAGGTAGAGAACAACAAATAAGACACCTGACACCAATTTTGGCATCTGCATGCACCCTGCCCCCCCCCCTCTCTCTCTCTCTCTCTCTCTCTCTCTCTCTCTCTCGCACACACACACACACACACACACACACACACACACACACACACGCAGGCATACACATATGTGCACATGAAAACTCCCCAAATCAGAAAGTGTGTCTGCTCATTTTCACCTGTGTAAATAATATGCTTCTGTATTTGATTTCCAAGTCCTCTGCACACCCTCCTAAAACCTGAACACACAAAGGGTCTCAGGGAGGAAACAGTGGCGGTGCTTCCCAGAGCCACAGCTGTAGAGACCCAGGGCCCCATCTGTGCATGTTTCTATTTCCAGACTCCGGGAAGAATGGAAGCAGAGGCTGGAAACAAAGCTGAGGCTGCGGAACAATCCAGATGAGGCGGAAAGGCAGACAAATGTCAGCTGAGAGCGTCCGGCTTCCCTGAGCCGTAGAGGACACAAGGCACCAAGTCCCTTGGCCGGAAGTCAGTTAAACCCGAGTTCCTCTGCTGCAAGGCATCCCTTCCCAATGCCCCACCCTCTGCAGTGGTGCACCCTTTCCCAATGCCCCATGGAGGCTATGTGCCAAGTAACCCTCTCTGCATGCGTGGAGGCCAGGCTATTATTCCAAATGTCTCTGAGTGTGAGCTTGTTTAATTTCAAGGCCTCAGACATTGTGTTTTGTTTTCATACCATTTCCCTCTGACTTTAAAATCCACATATTTTAAAGTATGTGCACACCAGAAAGGATTCAGATCTTCCTGGCCGTGCTTTAAACATTGCTTGGTATTTCGTCTGCACCATTTCGCCCAGGAAACATAATTACGTGTAATCTTTTCTCAAATTTTCCTTTGAAGAGAAGAACAATGCACCTATCTACAGAAACAAAAGCATAAGTTTTGTTAAGACCTGGTCTCTGAGTGGACTTAAGGGGGCTTTTAGAAACCATGTTTATCAATAAAATTTGGAGATTGTTTTAATAAAATTCAGTCTTTTTGCCATCCCATGAACATGCTCTTCATTGCACGGATTTAGTTGAATCTCCATGAGTTTGCACTGGTTGGCTTCTGGTCTGTTCGTTCAACAAAACTGATGTCAGTTTACACCAAGAGTGTTTAGCACACAGATTGAGAGCTTTGACATGACTCTGTCACTCCATCTCTCAGGTCTAGAAGAAGCATCAGGAGTTGTTGCTATTGAGAATGCAATGAAAATGGGGCCCAGAAAACTTTTTTTCCTCCACAGAGGAAGAGAGTAGAGAGATTCATGATTGTTGCCCATGACATCTAGAAGACTTTTTAGAAACATGAGTAATTCAACTGGTAAACACAAAAGTAATTCCTCTGATCACATACACGTATATTATTATTATTAGCATTATAGTTTAAAACTGTTTACTTTCATTTTAAATTATGGGTGTATGTATGTGTATCTGTGTGAGGGTGTGTCATGTGTATCTGTGGTGATATTTTGCTTATGCTATAACAAATAAAGCTTGCTTGAAGCTCAGAATGCAAAGCTGGCCACATTAGTTAGAGGCCAGGCAGTGGTGGCACTTACCTTTAATCCCAGGACTCAGGAGAAAGACTCAGGGGACAGAGGCAGAGGTATCTCTGTTAATTCAAGGCTATTCTGAGCACATGACATTGATCCAATCTAAAAGAGAAACAGAGCTCACACAAAGGTGATCCCAGGATTTGGAGTGACACACCTTTAACCCCAGCACTAAGGAGGTAGAGACTGGAAGGGCTATGGCTGGGCAGAGAGGGGAAGATAAGGTGGGAGGTGAAAGGAGCTCAGGGCAGTCCAGGCAGCCTAAGCAGTCTAGGCAGGCAGTGTGAGAATTCAGCCTGAGGATTTGTGGAGACGGGAAAGGTCTCCCTAGTGTCTGGCTGCTCTGCTTCTCTGGCCTCTTAGCTTTCACTCCCTAATACCGGACTCTGGGTTTTTATTATTAAGACCAAAGAGAATTTGTTCTACATGTATTTGTGTGGGTTGTGCGCATGTGTATCTGTGTGGAGTGTGTGCATGTGTATCTGTGTTGTGTGTGTGTGTGTGTATCTGTGTGGAGTGTGTGCATGTGTATCTGTGAGTGTGTGTGCATGTGTATCTGTGTGTGTGTGTGTGTGTGTGTATCTGTGTGGAGTGTGTGCATGTGTATCTGTGGGGGGTGTGTGCATGTGTGTCTGTGTGTGTGTGTGTGTGTGTGTGTGTGCATGTGTATCTGTGTGTGTGTGTGTGCATGTGTATCTGTGTGGAGTGTGTGCATGTGTATCTGTGTGGAGTGTGTGCATGTGTATCTGTGTGGAGTGTGTGTGCATGTGTATCTGTGTGTGTGTGTATCTGTGTGTATGTGTGTCTGTGTGGGGTGTGTGTGTGTGTATCTGTGTGGGTTGTGTGTGTTTGTATCTGTGTGTGTGTGTGTGTATCTGTGTGGGGTGTATGCATGTGTATCTGTGTGTGTGTGTGTGTATGCATGTGTGTCTGTGAGTGTGTGTGTGTGTGTGAGTGTGTGTGTGTGTGTGTGCATGTGTATCTGTGTGGGGTATGTGCATGTGTATCTGTGTGGGGTGTGTGTGTGTGTGTATCTGTGTGGGGTGTATGCATGTGTATCTGTGTCTGTGTGTGTGTGTGTGTATGTGTGTGTGTGTGTGTGTATGCATGTGTGCCTGTGAGTGTGTGTGTGTGTGAGTGTGTGAGTGTGTGAGTTTGTGTGTGTGTGTGTGTATAGATGCCTGTGATGGCTGTCAGGTCCTCGGGAGCTGGGGTTACAGATGAATGTGAGTATCCCTATCTGGATACTGGAAACTGAACTCAGGCCCCTGGCAAGTTCTTAACCACTGAGCCATCTCTCTAGCCCCAACTATTACTCCTTTATATGAACAAGGAAATGGAGGCTCAGAAAGTGATACAAGTATAGAATTGATTAGTGAAAAAGCCAAGATTCAGTATCAGCTTTAACTTCAAAACAAATCTTCATTTCAAATCGTGGTGCTAGTTAATTAACACCCACACATTCTTATTTTCAATGATTTGTGCTTTGATGGCAATGTATTTTAATCAACTATTAAAATCCACATATAGGCTGAGAGGACCTAAAAATCCTCTTCTGTCATCTGTGGGTACCAGGCATGCACACAGTTCATATACATACATGCAAAACACTCATACACATGAAATAAGATAATAAATCTTTCAAAAGTTACATTGTTGGCTAGAAAATTTGATGAAACTGGAGACCATTATGTTAGTGAAAAAGCTAGACTCAAAAGGAGATATACTATGTTTTCTCTCATTTGTGAGCCTTAGATTGTGTACAGTTACATAACCCCTCCTCTCTGTCGTCCCTCTGTCTCTCTGTGCATATCTAACACTTAAATGATTAATTCAAGCCATAAAGAGAGTCCTAGTGGATGAATTAGCCTCCATGTCCATCTGGATCCATCCTGCCCCATCGATACGCCGTTCTCATAGAACTCTGAACAGTCTTAGCTGTTGCTGTCAGAAACCTTGATACTCTGGACACGAGCCATAGGTATTTCCTTTTATTTACTGTGTATGCAAAAGTATGAAGGGATGGCTCAGTGAGTAAGAACACTGGCTGTTGTTCTAGAGGACCAGCGTTCAATTCCCAGCACCCACATGGTATCTCACCACTGTCTGTAACTCCAGTTCCAGGTGAGCTGACACCTTTACACAGACATACATGAATGCACATGAAATCAAAATAAATAAATAATTAAAAAAAAAGTAGCTGGGTTAACTTGCCTGGTAGACATGGCGGCCAGCTTTGGGAGACCTTGAGCAATGTAATGCAGAAGGAATCTGAAGGGAAGGTTGCAGCTGCATAGTTATCTTGTGGAAAGAGAAGACAAGTTGAGAAGACCCGGGACCCACCAGATGGGGCTTTGAGGCTGACTGTGGGCCGCCGTGGCATCCGGAACAGCCTCAAGGGATGGGAACAAGAGTCGTGTGATGTGACACAGACTGATCTGTTGGGCAAATGAATGGAAGGTTTGCATACAGTACAGCGCTATGTTTTACAAGAGCCGCCTCCATAATACCCCCATTCAGATCGGGCTGAGGGGTCTGAATGACACCACTGAGGGCTTCTTTCCTCGCTCAGCAGAGAGCCAGCCTAACACTCTGAGTTAGTAAAACGAAGCAGGCTGCAGTCCATGGCTAAGCTTCAGGAGGTCCTTTTGTAAGGTCACTCCCTGACCAAGAAGCTTTCATAATTGCCCAAACAATTCCTTTTGGCCTATGGAATGGAGACGGTCATCCACAGTGTGTGTCCACTACGGCAGTGCCCACCGGAGCCTAGTGACACATGTGCCCGGCCACTTTTCTGCTTGTCTCGTTTTCCCTAAGAAGTATGATTTCTACTCCATGCTGGGTGGCAGTGGTGATGGGTGGCCCATGTCCCGCGTCCTTGACAAATGGCACCATCCACCTCTCCTTGAACCCAGAGGCTATCTGGAAGACAGCTCCGGAGGCCAAAGGCGAGTTGAGTCAAGAAGAGAGAAAAATGAAGAAAGCAAAGAACAAATAAGGAAAGGGAAGGCTCAGGGAGAGAGGGCCTGCGGAATTCTGCCATGTTTGCAGTTTAGAACTCAGTTTTGATCATCGCTGGCTCTCTCACGGGTCTGTGTGATCCAAAAATAGGAAAGGGAGAAGGGGGGAGTGGGGAGGTGGAGAAGGGGTAAGAGAAGGCCGCTTACTGCTCACAGCAGGGCTTCCGCCAAGTGCACAGAAAAAGTTTATCTGCCAAGAGGTTTGAGTAGCCGAGATGCTAAATGGGAGGTGTGTTCTGGGATAACCCAGAGTATCAGCAGCAACTTAATCCCTGCCAGGAAGGATAAGGTGGGTTGCTGGGTAGGAGCCGGAAGCACAGAACCACCGGAAGTGTTCTAGTGAGATGGGCTGGGTCGAGCGGGAGTTGAGATGGAGGAGATGCGCTTCCTGCATCTTTTGAAGTTACTGGTCACACAAACACCCTTGAAACGATCACTGGAACAAAGGCAAGCAGAGTCTCTTCTCGCGACAGACACAGACTGGAGGCAGACAGGAACCATCTCCCTTACGGTTTCCAGCCCTTGTTTCATTTTTGTTTTTTGAGACAGGGTTTCTCTGTGCAACAACTCTAGCTGTACTGGAACTAGCACTGTAGACCAGGCTGACCTCGAACTCACAGAGATCTGCCTGCCTCTGCATCACGAGTGCTGGGATTAAAGGCTGGAGCCACCACTGCCAGCCACCCCTTGTTTCTATTCTGCCTTGGCCTCTGGTGCATTTCCCCCAAGGTCACTCTGATATATGTGACTGACAGATGTCAGCACCGAATTTATTAAGGTTGATGCATGTGTCATTTATTTGAGTCAACTGTGTACAGGACTTCAAGCAGTAAAGCAACAACCACACACCAGAATAAACCCCATCAGCTTTGAAATTCAGCTCTAGAAAGTCACGTGGCTCAGCCTCTGCTTTGATCGTTC